CTGTTTATCTGAAATGGGGTTTTTCCATGGGATTTGCTGCTGCATGAGCTCACACTGTAGGTTTTACTGAGTGGGATGCGGCATCATCTTGCTGTAGAGGCCTCAGCTGTGGAATTTGTTTATTATGATGAATGAACCTAAGTCTATTGACTTCAAGGGCATGGCATAAGGATTCTTTTCCTCTGCTTGAGGGGTTGTAGGTGAAGTTTGTTTGCATTATGTTTGAGAGTATTTTATTTGATGCATTTTGAAATGCTGTGTTAGTTTCTCTGGATGTGTTTTATATCTGAATAAGACTTTGTTGCACAGGATTACATCTTTCTGCAGACTTTTTTTCAGACTTTCACTAAGGCAGAACTCATGGAAAGGCCATTTAAGATAACCGTGTTAAGATTTGTGTTCAATTAATTCTAAAGGAGGGACCAGGAAGGTATTCAGTGGAATGGGCTGTGATTCATTAAACATACTGGCCTTGAATATCCACTATTTGTATGTTTTTTTCCACCACACTCACTTCCTCCAGAGAAGAGGGGAAAGAAAAAGGTTTCCATGTAAATGTGAACCTTCAACCTTTATATAGGTAAAAAGGAGAAACTGAATGACCACGTTGCTAAGAGGGCTATGATCAGGCCTAAGGAGATAGGGGGCACCAGTTGGCTAATTATCTCATAGCAGATCTTTTGTGCTTTTGAATTGCTTTCACCGCTGGTTCTTGTACCTCCCAGATAAATAGTATTGCTGTGTAAAATTGAGGCTGGATGATTTGTTTCCAATGCAGTATGGATGAAACAGCACATAGCCTGTGCTGCAGCCCACCAGAGAAGTGTATTTGCATCGTATGTAGATAATGTGCTCCAGAGTATAGCTACAGGTCATGAGAGAGAATTTGAAGGATACCCCTTCAGAGCCTATGGGGAAGGACAAACCTGGTGTAGAGTTACTGTCTTCTGAACACCACCCCTGGGGCAAACGATCCCCTGGAATGTCTTGGGAGAAGGAGCCATAAGATGCAAAATGGTTAATGAAATTCAGTAAGGTGTCTGGTCAGGTTAGTGGTGCTGTTTTAGTTAGATGGATCCCATGAGGCATAGGACTGAGAGTACCATCATTTGATATGTTCGGTTTACATTTTATCTTCTGGTTACTTTGGGTTTGGTTCATGACATATGTTGAATACTATAGTTCAGTTTGAAAACTGAACTCTAAAATAAATACCTTCACAGAAGGCTTCTCTAGGAAATGATTTATTTATTTTATTTTTAAAAGAAAAGTAAAACATTGAATGGAATTTGGTTTAGGGAAATAGCTTCACTGGAATAAAGAGTGCTCATTTTCTTAGTGTTTCTCTTCTCCGAATAAAATATTTATAATGTGAGATTCTTAACACATGGCTAGGAACTGATAATTATTTAAACCAGCTGCCTAGCTGCAATATTTATTTAATCATTGTGATTAAATGACATAAGAGAAAAAATAAGACAAGTGAAAATGCTCTGAATAAATAAGAAGTGAGAAATACTCCATAATAGTGTGTGCACAGAAGTGATTTGTTCTAAAAAAATCAAAATTATATTTAATCATTTAATAAGTGATTCATTTTCTGATGTGGTTAAAAGTACTTTTACATCTGGAGGCGATCCAAAATCGAACATGAATAGCACCTTTTTCCACGTGTTTATCTAGTAAACCTTTGTTTCTGTTAGTATGTAAAAAGAATGTTCTTTTTCCTTAAATTTTTGTTGATCTCTAATGACATATTTTGTAAGCAGTTGACTCTATTTAAAGGAAAAGTGATAACTAACATGATAAGTTATAATTCTTATTTTTTGTGTACATTCAATCACTTTTGAAGAAATGATATACAAAATTATTCAGTGTAACTTCAGCATCAAGAGTCAGAGCTACAATTTTACTAGGCATTGATTCCTTGAGAGGGTTTCTTTTCATCATCTGTAGTTCAGCCTTGTTTCTGTCTTTGCATTCTGAACAATGTAATTTTCCTCCTTTCTAGCTCCTACTCACAACACTTGTCCTTGGAAGGGAACAGTTTCATGAGTTCCACTAAAACTTTAAGTGATTAATTACTGTACAAAAATAATGTGATTTACATTTGCTAGTGACACAGTTTTCCGTATTCACAGAACTGCTCCATTGGTGCAAACCAAATCCATTCTGATAACAGCCTGTTGCAAGCTCTTGGGCATGACTGAAGCTAATTAAAAGCAGGTGGATCCTTCCCATTTAACAGACCAACAAGCTCAATGAAATGTAGATAGTTTATAATTCTTCCCTAACAGTGAATATTTTCTTTTCCCACAGACATTATTGGAATGTTGGGTTTCTCCGTGATTCTTTCACGTTCTGAACAGAAAAACAATTTTATTTTAACAATAGTATCCATACTACCGTGTTTATAGAACCTGCATTTTAGTTGGCAATGTAAGGAGAAGGCCCTGAAGGAAACCTAAGTTTTGAAACCTGATCTCTGTGTGAAAGTCTCTGTGGAAGTCTGGTGTAAAGATTTGAAAGAGTTACTTTAGAAAACACAAATTGATGTAGGTATGCTCTGTGATATTTTTTTAATTTTTTAGTGTCTGTTATATTTCTCAAGACTTAATTTCTCCTTCAGAAAAATGAAATAATGACCCAATGAGATGGCAGCATGGCTCATGTTCTGCAGTATTGCCATGTTTACTGAGTGTTCTGTTTATGATGTGAGTGTTCTGCTAAAACTTGTAATTTATTATTAGTTAGATAGTTCCCTTCCATTTCTCTATTTTATTTTGTTATTTTGAGTTTATTTATGTAAAAGATACCGCTTTCTGTCCATGTACTTAGAGGAGACCCGGAGGTGGAGTAGGAGACATGCTGCTGACTTGTGGGACTTTCATGGACTTGCCAGCAATGTTCAGACTGCCTTCTTTTTCTAGGCTTGATGAACAAAAGTCTGGAAAAACAAATTGGCACCATGAACGTTTTTCAAAGATGGAAATAGTTGTATCTAAGCCAGATGAGAGTTCTGAAGTACATGTATCTTTGCAAATCAGACTGTGCAGAACAGTCCAAATATAATATTTATACCTAATGTCATTGTAATAGACCTTAGAGATGGTCTCTCTGTAACACTGTGTATAACCAAATGACCCAATATGAAATGGAATTTAAGATGTTAGTCTTTCTAAGCCCAGCCAATTTTTATTTTCAGACTTTGCTTTTTTTTTCCTTGAATGATCCAAGTGCCGTGCAGCCTCAGAAGATAAAAACAGAATATAGTAATAGAAAGAACTATGTATTTATGTTTTCCTGTTTAGATGTTTATAATTTTAAAGCAATTCTTCAGTTTAGTCAGTCACAGTGTAGGTACCTATAAAGTTAAAAAAAAAAAAAAAAAAAAGCTGACAGATAATGCAAATTGAAACAGCTTGCTGCCTTGTGGTCTTGTCACTGCTGAAATGTATTGCTAAGATTGTAGTAAGGAGTTGTTAGAGAAATACGTACAATCTTTTTTTATCTGAGAAGGAAGAGGCGGATCTTGTGAAATATGGTTTCCTAGTTGATGACAGAATAATGCCTTGTGTAATGGAGCTGTATTTTTCGGTGATAGAAATAGGCTTCTGCGTGCTTTCAAATACTTGGGTTTAAGTGTTTATGTCTGATTTCAAATTGCTACTAGTGTTTTATAGTGACCTGTTCTGGTTAAGAAGTAATGCTGCCCAGGCATATTCATGGACACCTTGGTGCAGTACCAGATCAGCTCCTAGCTCAGAACTGAGTTGCTCTGCTATTCGTGTCTTCTGACAGTGGATCATCAAATTGCATCAGGTTATTTGTACATGTCCAATTCTTGCTAATATTTTAAGTGTCCAATAACAGTAATTACATTGTTGTATTATCAGTGTTGTCTCTTGCATGTGGACTTGAAAGTTGTTCTAAGATGTACATGCTCTGTAAAGCACTTGCTGTTTATATGTAATAGGAAATACCAAGAGCCAGGAAAATTAAGATAGTCTTGTGCAACAGATTATTTTAAAACATCACAAAAATAACAAGTTGAGAAGTAATGAATCAAATTTGCTAGCTAAGAGCATAAGATGTCTTTTGAAATTTTGTTACTAGCTTTATCACAAATGATGTCTCTTACTTTGAAGTCATCTTCTGTGCACTACTAAAATGTGAATGCTACGTAGGAGAACCCATTTTTTAAGCACTTGGGAAAAGTTTTGTTATCAGAATTTTCTTTTGCACATTGTACAATCCTTAGATCTGTATGAAAATGATCTATTGAACTTTGAAATCAGTTAATTTTTCTTTTGTAAATTGTAAAAGTTTTATAGGTAGCATCTTCAGAATGAGTTGTGTGTTCATATTGTACTGCTTCTGAAATGTAGCAATGAAAAACACTGAATTAGGACTGCTTGTGAAATTGACAGTAGGAACTAGAAGAAGAGCTGACACATTTTTCAATTGCTTGCATGCACTGTGAGTTTGTGTGTGTGCTTCATGGTTGTGAATGGGACAGATGAAGCTGAATTACTGAATTTCTACTTTACAAAGGATAGCATCAATCTTTGTACGTCCCTGCTGTAGCAGCCACTGAAAAGTGACTAGATTGTCTTCCAGTAACTGTGGAACAGTTTTTAACACATCTCTTGCTTGATCCGCCTTTTGCTGGCTGGGAAATACAACAAATATGTTTACCAGTGGTAACTTTTAATCTGCAAGCGATGTGGGGACACTTACCAATGTCATGCTTTTCAAGTTGCAACCAAAGTTCATTTGTTGACATTCTTGAGAGTGCATTTATTATTTAATAAAGAAGAAACTAGCTATTTCAGAAAATGCTAGGCTTTATGAACTGCTATGTTGGGAAAATGCAAATGAAGCAGAGAATTTTGTGATTAGTATTTTACAGAGCAGTCATTTACTGTAATTACATGTTTTTAATCAGTAGAATTATCATGTTCTAATAACCAAATTCTTTCCTGAATTCTTCTAGGATTCTGAGTAACAACAAGATCTTATGGTTGAAGAATGGCTCTTTCTTTGGACTGAGGTCCCTGGAGAGACTGTGAGTAACTGATCAGCCTCTTCCTTCTTCAGTTAAAAAGTCTTTATATTTTGAATGTAAAACCAAACCTCGGATAAGAAAGTTGAGGTGTTCTGAAATGTAGTGCGCAGTAGATTTTCTAAGCAACTGTCAAGTTAAGAAATTGAATAGAAATGAGTGCATGGGGATGGACGTGGAAAATACAGGAAGGCAACTACCATCAATTTGAAACTAAAATAAACATCCAGTCAAAGACTTGTACTACACTGTGTACACTATCACAGGGAAGACTGGTATATGTAACGGTAACACTAATGTACCTGACATAAAGTTTGGGTTGTTTAACTCACTGGTCTCCAATACTTCCATTTTTTAATTATATTCTAGACAAAGAAACTGGATAGCATTCCTCACTAGAGCAGACAATGACATTGACAAAGCTCTGTGATCATGTGTTTGTAGTCAGTGTTTGGAAGGGCAGGAATGATATTTCCATCTAATCTGCTCAGAAGCAACTGATGAATTAGGAAGGAAACATTTAGAAGCTTCAGTGGAATAAGTGCTATGGTAGTAACACTGTTTTCTGTATGTGTAGGTCACTCATTTGAAAATAATAATGCTACCAAGTCTAAAAGTCCATATTCAGTATCTATGGGAAACTTTACTATTGTGTGTAAGCCATGCAATTAAATTATACGCATCTTAAGTTATCTCTTGCAGGTGGATTAAATTATTTTTGTTCCTTCCTGAGAATATCTTTGCTATATAGAGCTGTCGATATGAAGTAGTTGTTACGTTTGTGAATTTGTGAAAGTATTCTGACATATGTTTCCATATGCAAATAACCCCAAAACAGCACCCCACATTTAAATGATCTACAGCTGTCTGAACAGTCTCGATTTAAAATAAATAAATAAATAAAAATTATACAGTTACAGATGTTACAAATGCTTCATTTGTTCAATTTTTAATTTTAATTTGCATTTTTATGCATCTTTTGACATGGGAACTTCAAACAAGGATGTATATGGATTCATAATGAATAAAAACTTGAATATGCTGTATCTTAGCAATAGTACTGAGCATGTACTCTTAAAATGTGTATTAATCATCTGTTAGGGAAATACTTTCAACCTGAAGAGACACTGCAGACATTATTGAGAACAGTAACAAAATGCCTTGGGTGTGTATCATCACCATCTAAACCCTAATTTTATGGTATTGACTTTTTTTATACAACACTGCAGATGAAATGAGTCTCGTCTCTCTATATGCTGACTGCTATTTGGCCGTGATGCTAATGCAAAATCCATAAGTTGTCCTTGAAGGCTAGGTGTGACATTCTCATCAGATTCAGATGCTCTGTTGCACATTGTCTGTCTATATGCACTTCTCATAAATACCTACAGTAGCCCGGTTTAATTTGGAGAGTTAGAAATGGCTTGGGTTGTCTTCTAAGAGGTGGAAACAGTGGGTGTGAATGAACTACCTCTGGATGAGAGCCCCTAACACTTAGACAAAGGTTTCCCCACTGTATTCTTGTATACAAGCTGCTTCAGAGTGGTATTTCAGGTGCTTAAGATGGAGGACCATGGCAGCAACTGCTGGCATTGTTCATGGGTCGTCAAAGTGGACCAAAAGAATTTTTATTACTTGCCTTAAAGGTGAGATAAAGAATCCTATGAAATGCATTAGCAGGAAAATCCAGTTGAGGTGATGTTCAATTCACAAGATCATGTGATTAGAAATGTGGATGTGCTGGAGTTAAGTGGTATTCATTCAATTTAGGTTTGCATTCCTTGTGGTCTTACTGGGAACAGAAGGTTAGGGAAGTGAATGGCATAGATACAAGAATCATGCATGTCAGTCATTCTTTTGTGGTTACTGTGAACCAGAAAAGCATTAGTTCATGTGGACGATGAAGTAATTTAACGTCAAACTTGAAAACTTTAGAGTTTAATAATAAATTTCACTTTCCAAGACATATCGCAACAAGATTTGGATTACAGAAGTGTTAGTCCTCCCGAGCCCTGGTGATTTCCCAGCAGTGCGTTGCCCAAGTGAGAAGCCTTGCTGAGCAGTTGCATAAAATGAAGAATTCTAGTTTGAAATTACTGAGAAGCATTAGTTGTTTACACATGAACTGACTGTTCTAAGAGTAAGACAGTAGCTATTTATCTAAAGACCATGGTAGATTGTCTCATAATGTGCATGAAGCACGTTATTTATTTTAGTTGTTATTATTATTGTAGTTGGGTCTTGTCTTATTTGTTTTTCCAGGCTTCTCAAAATACTTTTTTTTTTTTTTTAAACATAGCGTCAATATAAGTTTTCTACTTCAAATTGTATTCGTTTGTATTACTGCTGTAAAAGAAAATCTGATACTAGCTTTTATGGTGATACAACCAGCTAGGAAAAAAAAAGCCCACAGATTTGAGGATACAGTTATTTCCCTTGTGGTAGTAGAAAGATATTAATAAAGTATTAGTAAATACATTATTATTAAAAATAAAACATTTAATAGCTTCTATATTAAAGATTATATAAGTAAAAATCATCAGAGTACATTTATGAAATATTAGCTTTTTTACAGGAAAGCTTATAAAAATGCTTTGAAAAACCCTATTTCACAAAGGGTGCTCTTTCTGTATTCTGTGAGCGTGACCAGTGACTCACAAGAGTGCTCTGTAGAGGTGGCACACTCTCTCAGCACTCAGATCGAGTTTTCTGAAACCCTTGTGCTCATTTGTGAGTCAACCTTTACAAATGTGTTTTAGCATCTGGATCATGATGCACCTCTGTGCCTCTGGGTTTACTTTGTACTCTAACTAAAAAGGGGTGAATACTATTACTTAAATACCATGTGGGAATAGAAACTTTCTGTAAACTTAGGTTTTGTACTGTACTCAGTTATACAGACTTTGACTACTCCCTTTGTTTTGGATGAAAATCAGAAGTATGGGTAGAAAAATAAACTTTTTTGAAGCAAATGTGGTAAGCGAACTGTTAACACCTTGAAGCCATTTCTGTGGTACACCCTGTGGAGATGGCTTCATATTCACGGAGCTGAGTTCAGTTTGGATTTGAAGCTTTGGGCAAAGACTTGCCAACTTGTAATGGTTTCAGTTTCAGTGCCTTCTTTGGTATTCAGTGTCTTAAATTCTTGTGAGATGCACTGATCTGAGCAGGACAGCATCAGTTATCACAGTCAAGTAGTTTTTCATATGTTTTGAGTACCATAAAAGAATGGGAAAGCAAGTTTTCCAAGCCATGAAAGGTGCTCCTTTTAGGTAAGTCTCATAGACTCTCAGAGGCTTTCATTTAAGTAAGCGTGATTTTGGAGGACCTGAATAACTGAGTGTCTATACAGCTTGTATATAGTTTAGAGCTTAAAAAAATATTTCATAAACTGAAACAAGACATAAAATAGAAAATTTCCATTATAATCTGGTTATTTCTTCTAATTTTTATTTTTAACTCATTGCCTATGGGAATAGCCATTGTTATCACCCAAGGAATTGCAGGCTTAGTGCAGATTACCACATTATTAGGATGTACTGTATCATGGCAGTGTATCGCATGGATCCTGCTCCAACAGTGTAGAGCAAATGAATGTTATGAATAACAGTAGTGGCAAATTTCTTTATGCTTGATAATACCTGGTCTCTAAATAACTTTTCTGGAAAATGTTGTTGTCCCCAGAATCATGAAGAGGACTACAATTGAGACTATTGGGCCAGATGCTCCAGCTATGCTGGACCCAAAGTTGAGGTCTACATTATGAAATTAAATGTTTTCCCCTCATCCTGATGTCAGCTGGCACAAAAGAATGTGCAGCAAGCTGTTAACCACACTATTCTTGTTCTTATTCTCCTCAACTTTGCATGGATAGCTTGTTTTGTGCTGACCCCCATGTTACCTCTAGCAGGAGGCAATCTGTTGTGGCTTCTAGTCCCCTGTGTGTTTCCTGGTGCTCACTAGAGTTGATCTTGTACTTGTGATTTTTTTTTTTTAAATGGGTGTATGAGGTCTCTCTCTCTCTGTTTCATAACAGAATGTATGTTTTTATGAAGTTTACAAAAGCATAATTACCTCTGGGACTGCTGTTACATTGTCCCATGTGGCTGAAAGTCTTTATCAGGTTCAGAAGTTATTTGGAGAGAATCAACAAACAAAAATAAAGAACCATACACAAACAGAACATGATTGCATAAGCGGCGTTTCCTTGGGAAATCACGATGGAAGATCACTACGCAAGATTACACATATTTTTCACAGTTGACCCAGAACAAAAGCATGCCAGGCAGTAAGACTTCAAGTTTCAGTAAAACTGTCGCTGTTACGTTTTTCTGATATTCCTGGACATGTTTCTAGACAAACTAAAATTCCACTAAAATATTGTTAAGATTTATTTTTTTAATTTTTTTTAAGTGTATAGACCAGTTCTCACACTGATTGTGCCTTTATTAAGTGTTGTGGTATTATAAGGCGACCAACTAAGCAGCCAAGTGTTGTCCTCATTTACTACTAGATAAGACTAAATAAAACCTTAGTTTTGATAGATTGCAGTACAGTTACTTTCTGTAATTCTGTATTGTGCTTCACAACTGAAGTAATAGCACGTTAACATGAAGGAATGAAAGAGCAGGAAAGGCAAGCACAATGAATTAGATCATAGGAAAAAAACCCACATTGTTAAACAGCTGTTGCAAAAACATGGTATTTGGTTATTCTTCAGTAAAGCTCAAGTGATGAAAGGTCAAAGTATAAAGGTTTTACATTTCAATATTCTGAAGTGCTTCTTGTGACGTAAAATTTACATTCTCTAAGTTACTGGCCACTTTTTTTTTTTTTTTCTTGCCTATACCTGTAAAATGTGCACGTATACATGCAGAAACAGGGATGTGCATCTTTGACTCTGTAAAGGATTGGAAGAATGCTTAACGAAATGCTGTAACAATTTAGGTTTCAACTAAATTGACAAATTAAATTTTGAATTATTTGTGGTTTTTTTTTATTAA